CATTGATCGGCTCCAGATTCTTCTGGCCCTTTTGCAGGGACTGCATCGCCTTCTTCAGCAGCTCGCCTAGTGCACGTTCCCGATGCTCGTGCCGCTCCAGCTTGTTGTCCAGCTGATTGTACGAGTATATAAGCGATTTTATAGTACCGCTTAGGTCTTCATTGCTATAATAATATACAAATAAAATAATAATATAATATGGGAATAATATGTAAATATTTCAGGATCAGCTTCAACTTTAATTTGGAATATGATTCGGGATTAAATAAAAATCATATTTATTTATTAATATATATATTCTACTATTTAATATATAAATGTTATTCTTACAGTATAGGCTTTATAGTTATTCAGAAATATCTTATGGTATTAAAAAAATACTTGCCATATCTAGAAAATATATATTCTCAGTTTCTATGCTTTTAAGTTCTAAGTTTCTAAGTTAATCTTCTTTAAAAAATATTTATATTTGAACTAAATATAGCCATATTTTTGTGTTACTTTTTTCTTTATAATTATAAATATTAAAAGACTTTTTTAGATTTGTTTTTCCCATTAAAGTTAAAATTTTGAAATAAATTGGCAACAAAATACGAAAGAGTTCCGAAGAGTTTTTCTTTTTGCTGTATTAAAAAAACTATGAGAAAACTGAAATATTTTCCAAATATATTTTAAATATTATTCCAATAATTTAAAAAATGTTTTTAAATACTAATTTTCTAAGTAAATCTTCTTTAAAAAATTTTGAAATAAATTGGCAACAAAATACGAAAGAGTTCCGAAGAGTTTTTCTTTTTGCTGTATTAAAAAAACTATGAGAAAACTGAAATATTTTCCAAATATATTTTAAATATTATTCCAATAATTTAAAAAATGTTTTTAAATACTAATTTTCTAAGTAAATCTTCTTTAAAAAATAATTATATTAAAAAAAAAAAATATATAGCCATATTTTCGTGTTACTTGTTTTTTAATTATTATAAATATACTTAATTATATAAACATTGTAATATATATATTATAAATACGAAAGAATTTTTCCTGTTCGCATACATTCAATTATGAGAAAACTTAAATATATTTTAAATATTATTCCGTTAACGTTTACGTTAATCTTAACTTTTGTTAATTACTTTGCTTTTAATCGGCAATTGTTCTCTTTATGCAAAGTACATTAATGCAGTCGTGTAGTTGAAGAACAAATTTCTTTCATCAATCATTAGGGGCGGGGCATGTGACTGAGGACCAATACCGCCCCCTTCTGGCATGGCAATCGACAGCCGTAAACGTTGATGGCCCGGGGCCTCGGACCGAGTGCAGTCATCATAAATGACTTGCTGAGATCGTGATCAATTCTCGTAAACATGCTCGCGCCCACCCTGCCAGCTAATATTCGACGACTCAGTCGAGCCGCCTCAGTCTCAGGGTCAGAAACCCTTTTAGATGCGATGCAGTGCGTGTGCGTGTGTTTGTGTGAAATGCATAGATGCTGATGGATATGCAGAGCAGCAAGCTCTAAGTGCCGGGCCATGCGCCCCGGCTAGGCAACATATGTATGCTGGCTGTGCAGTAAGTTTTCCCCCGCGGGCCGTGCCCGTTTCCATTACGGTTTCCACAGTTCGCGGGCCATTTGGATGAAGTGTGTGTGCATGCTCCGGGCCAAAAATAAACAAACAAACAGGCGGAACAGACAGACCAACATCTCTGTTTCTTTGAAGGCAATAGTCATTAGTTTTGGCAGCCGACTGGGGGCTAGCTGCTGGGATGAAGGCGTTGCCCTGTGGCAGCATATGGTGTAAAGTGGCCGCTGGGCGGAGAGCGGAGGGTGGAGGGTGGAGGGTCGATCCGGAATTAGGAACTGGGTGTTGCATGCGGGGGTCGTGGACATCCTGGCGCCGCACTTGATAACTTGCACATTTCGCATAGATACATATTTAGTGCATTATATTTCACAGCCAAGTGGAAAATCCAAAAACAAAGTGCGAAAGACTGTTGGACACATGTCAATCTGTTTTGGTTTTCTATTCATAAATATTGCTGACAGATGTGGATTTCGATTGAAACCGAAAATACAAATAGCTAAAGAGAAACACAATCTCGAACTGTTGAAATATTGGGTATTTCCCTAATATAACTCTCTGAAAACTTTTGCCTATTTCCCTAATATTTCTTACTTTTCATTATATAATTAAGGCTAAATATTACGGATATTAATTTTGGATATTCAAATTTTATTTAAATTTGATTGTTTTGATAATTTTATTATTATTACAATATAGCATGGAAGAGCTTGGTATTAGGCAAATACAATTTGTATAATGTTTTCATGAAATATATTATTTTGTGAATATTTATTTTCGAAGAACAAATATCTTTAATCCTTGGACGAATATCACTTGGTATTTAGTCAAAGAATAAATTATTGTTCTATGTTCTATAAAAAATGAATATGCATGAAACTGTTTTAGACATGTAATTAATATATACAGTATATATATATTATATATATTTTATATTTTATATCTATATATATATTTATATATATATTAAACAAATATTAAGCAACGAGAATTCTATAAATTGTGTAGTACAAAAAGTATGGACCAACAAATGTTGATAGTTTCACATTGAAATGAACTGCATATATATATCAATTATTATACCCTTGCAAGGGGTATTATAATTTCGTCATTAAATGTGTAACGCATAGAAGGCGACATCTTCGACCCCATAAAGTATATATGTATATATGTTCAAGATCAGTAGCAACAGCCTAGTTTATATAGCCATGTCCGTCTGTGCGTATTTTTATACATTAAGATAACTTGATTTATTAGTTCCATTATGATTCTTATGTATATGCGAGATATTATGAACATCGGACCACTGTATCATATAGTTGCTATAGAAAAGATCGATGGAATAGTAGCATCTTATAAGGCAAAATATTATGTTTTTAAAGAATTTCCACAAACTCAGCATTTTCGAGCTGCACTAGTCTTACTTAAGGGTATTAAGTCTTCGGTGTGCCGAAGATTTCCTTACTTTCTCGATTATAGTATACTTATTATTTTGGCATATCAATAATTTCCATAAAGAAGATCAATTCGCGATCGTGCCGATTGGAATATCTTTAAAGATTCTGTACTTACGTGACCGGCGATGCCTCGACATTGGTCTGCCACAGGCCCAGGCCCAGGCAAATTAGGGCTAGGAAAAGTAAAGCAATTGATGGATGCGTTGCTGCCGTTGCCATTTTGGTGCGTGTCTGCTGATCGCCAATTAGTCCAAATTAAGTTGAGCTGCGTGATCTGCGCTGTCGAATGAGGATATTGAATATTGAAATTGTAAATTGCAAATTGCAAATTGCAAATTGAAAATAAATTGCAATGGCGCCGCACAAATTTGTCGATTAATAATGAAATGCAAGTTGGCAAACGGTTTGTTTAAAATTGCATTGAAAATTGTTTATAACAAATACGGTAGCCATAAACATTGGCATATTTATGGCAACTGCAGTTTAAACAATCCGGTTCCCGCCGATGAAAGGCATTTTATAGAACAATGCAACGCCAATTAATTCCTTGTTGCGATGCCAATTTTCAGCTCATTGTTTTTCTGAATATCTGGAGCTCGGCATATAGGCAAATATAGAGCGCTATAAAATCGCCAACGGCAATAAAAAAAATGACGCAGATCTTCCATTCTGCGTGCGCCAGTTTTTGTTTTATTGCAATTCGTGGACTGGTTGCAAAATGCAGGGCGATAATTGGGTCAGAAATAAGCAAGGGAAATGCTTTTTAATGAGCACGAACTGGACATTGTAAGTAAAATGTGTTCAATTACTATTATTATTATTGTATATTTATTTTTTTTTTTTTTTAATTAATAACATGTGAATTAATAACATGTCCTTATCGCAGAATGGAATTGGGTTAAAGGTTGATAAATTGTGAATGCTAAGATAGAAGTATATTATAGAATCGAGTACACATGCACATGTGTTGGTCAAATGTTATTGAATTAAACATGAAAATTTACAAATACATGCATTATTCGAAACTCTTATAACTACACACTTGTATTAATCTTAAAGTAGAGATTATAGAGTAGCTAAGCAGCTCTCCTCGAACCTCAAACACTGACTTGCTTCCGAAACCGAATACTGCACTGCCGAGCACTGTAACTAGAAATAAGTACTATCACTTTTACTATTGATAGAGCAGACGACGTCCTCACTGCACGAGCAGCACACAATGAATGAGAACAAGATGCTGGCGCCTGGCACTTAACGTTCTGCCTGATAATGATGTTGCTCTGTGCTGATGCTGGTTAGAGAGAGGGACCGCGTGCAGATCGTGCTCAAATGTTTCTAATTAAATGTAATTAAAAGAGCAGAGAGACAGTGAAGAGCATCAAGTCAGTCGCATTTATAGCTTCCCGCATCCTCAGTCCAACTGCCGGCGTATTGTAAAAAGCGCAATTGAATCAAAATTCAATTTGTTCTAATACAAAACTATTCAATACACATTAATTATGGGGATAACTAATTAACTGCAACATTGATGCAGCGGCAAAATTCAAGCCAATCAAATTCTAATAAATATGCATTCAATATATTTATAAGCCAGCTGGCTTATAAAATGCATTTCTGTTTATTACATTTTAACGACAGTTTTATTGATATTTAAATTATTTTTGGCGCCATTTCCGTGTACGTTGTCTGCATTGCGAGTGAATGGCATTTATATCGATAACTCTTAACATTTGCGATTGTTTTTAGTGCAATTTGGCAAAACAGAAGAATGTTAAATTTTTTCACTACCAAGATAAATGCAGCAATAAATTGTCATAATATAAATAATTAAATATAACTAATTAAATTTCAACATTCGTTATTTGAACCGTATTAAATGAATTTTAGTTAAGCGGCAAAGTTTCCCTACCTTTCGATATTTAGAACTAAACGATAACTAAACTATCGGCTTTCGATTACTGCGGGATATCAGCTGTTGCCGGCGTTTGTTTATATTCCCAATCGCAACAATTTAGTTTTTCATATTGATAGAGTTGGAAAAATGCCAACAATAATTGCTTTGGATGTATCGCTATCGATGCTGCGTCCTGTGCCGGGGCGCAACGACCACACATACCAATCGCTGGCCCTCAAGGGCATTCAACTTCTGCTGGACAACTTGACGGCCGCTGGCAAGCTCGAGCACTTGGCTTTGGTATTGTACACCACAGTCTGTGAATTGAAAGTGGATTTTACACGGGACTACGATCAAATACGGCAGGCGATTAAGAAAATCGAGCCCGTGGACAAGGCCTGCCTGATGACCATGCTGAAAACCTCAGTCAGCCTAATGGCCACATGGGGCACACAGAATCTTCTACAGCTGGTGGTGTTTACGGACTGCGGTCCGGGCTTTGGCAGCACGTCGATTGCTGGCTTCCTGGAGGCGTATGCGGGCAAGGAGGCTGAGCCCGAATATGCGTGGCTTAAGACGCTGGCCACCTACAATCTGAATTTCATTTGCCTGGGCGTGCATTGCGATTTATATTTTACGCGTGGCCTGACACTGCATCAACAGTTGCTCGACGCAGCCTCGCTTAGGGGTCAGCTTTTCATGACGAAGCCAGTGAAGAGCGCCGAGCCCGGCGACGCCACATCTGGTGGCAGCCATAAAAGCGAACTGGGTCGCACTGCCCTGTTCGAGCTAATTGAGCGCCTGTGCGAGAGCAGCTTCAAATCCACAGAGGTGACGCTGAAGTGCGGCCGCTACTTTCGCATGGAAGGCCAGGTGCTGCTCTGGCCGCCACCGATGCCCTATGAGCAGGCCGCACTCTACGGCGGCGATCCCACAATACGTCACATTGATCAGCGCATTGATGTCTGCGGCTTCCTGGCGCTATCCGATATTGGCTCGCCGGCCACGCTAAGTCGCCACTGGGTGCTGGCCAAGGTGGAGCGTGAGAAACCGAGTCGTCGCTCTGGCGGTCTGGCAGCAGTTGCTAAGCCTCCCAAGCTAACGCTGGACACCAGCAATCCGCACTATGAGCTCGAGAAGCTGGAGCAAGATATACGCGACTTCTACATGAAGGACACCAAGGATGCCGAGGAAAGTGGCGACGATGCCGACGTAACTGTTGTTCTCAAGCACAGCTCCACGCCCCAAGCGGAGCAGCAAAAGGACAATCTGTGCGTGCTACTGCATGGCGCACTTAAGCTGGAGAACATGGCCGCGCTGGTGCTGCTGGGCGAGAAGTGGTATGGCTTTATGTATGCCTACACCGACGTCAAGAAGAAATCCAATTTTATGCTCAACATACTGCCGCCGGGCTCCAATGTTATACCCTGGCTGGGCGACCTGGAGTTCCTTGGCTTTCCCGAGGATTTGGCGCCTGGTGAAACAGCCAGTTTTCCAGTGCGCGCCGAGCGACGCTCATATTCACAAAGCAGCGTCGTCTGGATACGTCAGGCTAGCCTCCAGTCCGACGTCCAGAAAGTGCTGCGTCACGCAAAGAAAATGCCCGACAAGACGCAGCATTTCTACAAGGAACTCAATCGCATTCGACGCGCCGCTCTGGCCCTGGGCTTCGTGGAGCTGCTCGAGGCGTTGGCGCTGCTGCTCGAGAAGGAGACCGCACAGCTCACCTTGAATGGCGTCACCACCGAGTGCACGCTGCAGCTGCAACATGCGGCCACCGAGCTGCGCAAGACCTCGAACCGCGACATCAAGTCAACAATTGTGCCGCTCCAGAAGGCAAGCGCTGCCGATACCACAGCGGTTGCTACTCCAGCCCAAGGGGGTTATCTGTACTAGAATATATGTTACTTTTAATGCTTTTAATTATTGATTAAATTAGTTATCAAATGACATACATATAAAATGGCAAATGGTCGAAAGCGTTTGCATTTTTTCATGAAATCCGAATTGGAGTTGTAATCAGCTAGTAATTCTACATCTATTACGTTTTTAATTTATGTTCCCATTCCTTTCTTAAAATCTAATTTGAATGAAGTAACGGCCGTATAAACAGTTTGCCAAGTCGCTTTACAGCACTGTCGCGGCAGCACACTTATCGTTATCGACTTATCGAACATTGTTATTTATTTACGTTTTTTTTTCTGCAGCAGCAACAATGGGCAGCCCAGAATTACCAACAGATCCTGGAGAGGAGCATGATTTCCAAGCGCCAGCGATTGAGCATCCACATGTTGGAGAACAGAGCGATGACAGTGCCGAGTCGGATGCCTATGACGGTTACCAGCCGCTCGCAACAGACGCTGAGGAGGCGGGCGCAGTTATCAATGACATAGCCACAGCTGCAGAGTCGAATGGTCGGGAGGAAGCCGATGAGGACATCGATCTGATGACAGCTGAGGTGACACACGGCGATCCGAATATGCCACCAATCGAAAGCATCGATGCGGAAATTGAACGCCAAGTGTGGAACGAGCCACGGCCGCAGGAGCTGCAAATGGAGCTGGATAAAGCGCGCACGGAGCAGGTGAGTGTGTAGGCATTACCAGAAAACAAGATGCGGTGGCATAACAGTTGGTTCTCATAGATACTCAAGGCCATGTCGAAAATAACATTACCCAATGTGACGGTGCCCGACTGGGCCAAGGGTGTGCCCGAGGAGCGATGGAAGCATGAGCTGCTGGAGCGCATACAAACACGCAGAGCGGCGCCGGCAGCCGAGGGAGCTGCTGAACAGTTGGCCAAGCCGTCAGTTGATTAATACATGATACAATATACATGAATATAGGCTAAGCAAAAGGTATTTATTGTATTAGACCCTCAAAACGACACACTCCAATATATAAAATTTAAAAATAAATGCGTGCAACGCCAGATCTTAAAATACGGCAAGTAACGCCTGTCCCACCAAATTGACTTTGGTGAAGTTTTCGTCCTGCGGTGTATTTGTCAGCTCACGCAACTTATCCATCACATAATCAACGGAGACAACCTGGGCGATGGTCTCCTGGCCGCACTGCGTGGTTGTCAGATTACCTATGGCCTGCATTGAGCGATACCAGGCCTCCAAATCCTTGGCCCACTTGAGCAGTTCCACAATGCCCGAGGTGGTCACATGACACACATCTGGACGGGCCGCGCCCAGTGTTTGCGAAATGGTCAGGTTCAAATAAAACGTGGCAATCGCTAATTGCAAATTGGGGCTGCCCGCACGTATGCAGCTAACCAGCTCAATGATTTGCGGCAGTTGGGCTTCAATCTGCTTTCGTCCCACTGTGTGAGTCAAGGCGTTGGCCAGACAGCGACAAACCATTAGCTGATTGGCCGCCGTACCGTCCAGGTGTGGCAGCACGCTGTTCAAAAAGTTGTGGCTATTGTGCAGCAGAGAGAAAACGGCCTCGTGACGCACTGCTAGGCGCAGTATGTCGAGCACCGGGAAGAGCATGCCAGTCGGCCATTTGAGCAACATCATCAATGCCTCCAAGGCTGTCGGCTCCAGTTCCGGTGCCTTCTCCGTCAGCCGTATGACGGCGAGCAAGACTTCGTCGCCCACTTTACCCTCTGCGTTGGTTAGTTTATTGTTGAACTCCCTGAATAAAAGGCATAATTTTCATTTATAGTCTACAATTGGCTGGCATAGCTTACTTCATCTTCTCCAACACCTTGTTGGCATCGCATGTGTCGAAGGTGCGATAGGTGCTGACAGGAAAGTGCTTATCGCTGCCACGCACAAAATTTACATCGACGCTAGACTGTGTAATGCTGTTGGCCGTGGAGTAGCTGGAGGCGCCAGTAAAGGGATCCATATTGCCGGTGCCCCGGACGCTGTTGTTGCTGGAGCCGGGCACATAGCGTGAGCCGCCAGTGAAAGGATCCTGATACCCACTGCAACAGGAATTTAAATATCAAATAGATGAAATCCCAAATAAAATCTATACAGACGTTGTCGTTTGCGTCACCGCGGCGGGCGCATTTTCCGAGTTCTTCACAATGAAATTGGCCACTTGATCCAGATATGCCTGGGGCAGGTTATTGCGGTGTATGAACTGTTGAGCGGCTTTCCAGGGATCTTCGCCGTGATTGTACGGCAACTTGATGGGTGGCTCCGTATCAGATATATCTACATTGAACACATAATCGTACTCCTTGCCCTCATGCAGCTTCTTGCCGGAGTTGGCCTGTGTGCCGCCCGTGGCACCAGTCACATCGCCCACCAGACTCCATTTACCTAGCTCCCACACGTAACACTTGACCGAGCCATCCACGTGGCGCACCATTTTCGTTTGACCCTCGCGAGTGCCATTGGATAACAAAGCCTCCGGTCCGGCCAAGCTGGAAAAGTAGCATGCAATTAGAATAAACATGAAATGTTTGCTCGACAGGACTTACTCTGTCTTCTTTACACCGCCGATTTCCTCACTAAGCTGCGACTTGTGCGTAGCCACAGCTAAATCAAAGGCACGTCTGAGACTCTCGCCAGCCTGGCGAGTCGGTTCCTGGCTGAAAACGCGTACTACGCCATCACTGCAGCCGGTGACAATGTCGCCGTTTTGCAGACAAGCAACTGACCACACAGAAATGGCCGGATGCAGAATAGGGGCACCCAACTCGTCGCCTGTGATCACATTCCACATGCGCAGCGTGCTATCCTCGCCGCATGAGACGACAATGTGCTCGCCCAGCGCCTGATTGCGTGCCATAGCATATATATAGTTGGTATGGCCGCTCAGCTCGCGCACACACTCGCCGTCCTCGTTCCAGAAGCGCAGCACTGCATCGTTGCCGCAGGATAGCAGAGAATTGGCGGGCAGCGGAACGAGTCCACGCACGCAATCCGTGTGGCCCTTGAGCAGCCGCAGCTTTTCGCCCTGGGCATTCCAGTAGTAAATGCACTTGTCGGCGCCGCCCGTAACATACTTCTGCTGTGTGGCCATCGTTGCCACGGCCCAAACGGCGGCCTCGTGGCCCTGCAGCGTAATAAATGTGACATCGCCCGTTTCACTGATGGTCCACACGCGCGCTGTTTTGTCCCAGCTGCCGCTGATGAGACTGCGCGACTTGAGGCCTGCGGCCAGAGTGCAGACAGTCGATTCGTGACCTTTAAGCGTGATTAGTGGCACAAAGCCCTCTTGTCCGTAGATGCAAATGGTCGCATCGTTGCTGGCAGTGCAGATCCACTGCTCCGACTCCAGATAATAGATGTAGGATATGAAGTTTTTGTGGTCCTGCAGCGTGACGCTCTCAATGTACTCATTGCTTAAATATAAAAACAATACAAAGCACAATTAAACCGGCATACAGAAAGATATTTTCTAGTCTTGGTACGCACCCCATTGGCTTCCAGAGTTTTGTGCTTTTGTCGCGTGAGCCGGACAAAATTAATTGGCCGCCGCCTGGTGCGTTGCCTCCAGCAGCCACTGCGCGCACATCCAAGCTGTGGCCTAGTAACTCGCAGCCAATCTTGTAATTATCCAGCGTCGGCTCCATTTTGCAGTCCCTGACTTTGCTAATTTTCGTCGGCTTTTTTGGCGAATAGTATTTCTAGTAGAGGTGGCAGTAACTGAATATCGATAACATTTCACATTGCTAAACACTCAAATTATCGTTTAAGCATAGTAAGCAAAGCAGAGACAACAGCCAAGGAAATGTACGAATTTTTAATTGTTATTAAATTGATTTGATTTCACTTTTATGCGTAACAAATTAACACCTTGTTTAGTTCCTTAGTGTTAGTTTATTTATTTATTAAAAGAGAAAAGCCCTTATTTAACATCAGGTACTGTCTTCTTCTGTTCTAATTGATTTGTTATTGCCTGTTGATCAGCATACTGTGCCTTTTACACTTACGTCCTCTTTTTAAATAAGCCACAGTTTTACGTGCGCTAATTACGCTTGTAAACATAAAAACAAAAAGCGAATTTTAAAGTTTTAATACGAACGATTGTTAGACATGCAAGCAGCAGGCGCAGGTATTCGTGTGCCTTTGAAGCTCTTCGCTTTGCTGCCGCGGCTTTTGCCAGCCAGCCGCAACTTTGCCGATGCCGCAACAGCCTCAACAGAGGAGCCGGAAAAACAGTCCGCTCCTCCGACTCCGCCGTCAGCGAAATGTTCCATGAAGATGAGAGGCTGGCAGCTGCACTGCTACGGCGGCATTGAAGAGCTGCAGCTGTCCGACAAACTCAAGTGGCCGCAAATCCGCAGCTCCGACGAGTGCTTGGTGCGGGTGCGCACCACGGCGGTGAATCCCATCGATATTGCCATGTTGGGCGGCTACGGATCCACGCTGCTAAACCAATTGCGTTGTCAGGCCAACGATGACATTGAATTCCCCTTGACGCTGGGCCGTGAATTCTGCGGCGAACTGGTCCAGAAGGGCATGGGCGTCTGCGACAAGCAGCTGCCGCTGGGCACACGAGTGTGGGGCGTGGTGCCCATACCAAATCCCAATGGCGCACATGCTGAGTACGTTGTGGTGCCCTCGTCTTGTGTAAGTCCCGACTGCAGTTATGACCAACTGAATTTTATTATGTATTGCATTTCTTAGCTAGCGCCGGCACCAAAGGATCTGGACGACGGCGAGGCGACCAGTGTGCTCTATGCGGGTCTGACCGCCTGGTCGGGCTTGTACCTAACTGGCGGCTTGGGCGGTCCATGCGGCGCCACCACGTCCGAGGGCGGTGGTGCAAATAAACGAGTTCTGGTCCTCGGCGGATCGGGCAGTGTCGGCTCATTGGCCATACAGATATTGAAATCGCAGCGTGCCCAAGTGCTCGCCACCTGCAGCGAGGATGCTGTGGAAATGGTGCGCTGCCTGGCCGACTACGTGGTTGACTATACGAAGCCCGACGCCAACGAGCAGCTGTGCACCTATGCGCCCTACGACATTGTCCTAGATTGCGCCGGGCAGGGCGGACAGCATGCCTCCGACTTGCCGTACGACTTTCGACAGTATATAACATTCAACTCGCCGCTGCTGGCAAATATTGACAAAAGTGGCCTATGCCTGGGTTCGCTGCAGAACTTCTCCGACTTGGTGCAGACAAATGTGCGCGCTGTCACCCAGCGCGGGGGATTGGTCAAGTGGGGCTATTTCTTTCCAGCGGCGCATGGCATTGAGTTCCTGCAGCGTCTGGTCGAGCGCCGAAAGGTTAGTTCAAGGGTATTACTAGCTAAATCATCGTCTAATAATCTTTATATTCCTAGTTAATACCGCTTATTGACAGCAGCTTTGACTTCAAGGACCTGCCAAAGGCTTTTGAGCGCTTAAAGTGCGGCCATATGCGTGGTAAAATTGTGGTTAAGATTTGAGACTAAATACTATTCTTGTTACGGGTGATATTTAACTTGTTTAATAATAAAAAAGTTGTCTGAAAAAAGCATCTAAATATTTCATTTTGATGTTTTGAATTATCGTTGCTCAACAGTTTCGCAACAGTTTGCACTTAAAGCTATCGATAGATAAGCAATCGACCGTCGGGTAGTTTATCGGCCGGCCTACACAGCCTATTGGCTAGTTTTGTAGTTTCCTGCATAAAGTACTTAAAAATGTAAATTAAACTATTCATAAGTGGATAAATAAGTTAAAATATCTAAAATCTAGTAGCATGCTATAATTATAGCATTGTGACCGTGTTTTAAAATCAGCAAACATTGGTAAAAGACCAAAAGTTATTATTTATTTTCATTTGTACGCTGTGTTTTTGTTTGTTACTCCACGTTGTCGCGTTTGTGCCGGTTAGAAATGTTAAGTCGTCAATACTCTTGGTCAAACGGAAATACCAGTAAACAATAAACTAAACCAAAATTGTGCATGTTTTTTAACAATTATAAATTATAAATAAACCAATACATATGCACCGCCGGCAAAAACAGAGAACGCGCGTTTATTGAGCAAGCTACGAGAGCGCCAAGAGAGCGCACAGCAGTCAGGAATAGAGTTGTCAGCTGTTGATAGCGGTTCGTTGGTACCATTAAAAAAAATGCAAAATACAACATTGTCGATTCTCTTTTGTTGCTTAATTAGTGATGACAATTATTTTTTCAAGTTTCACACTAACTTGCTAAATTTTAAATAGTTATTTTTAAATAATAAGAAAAATAATTTCTGACCTTATAATGTACCAAAGTACTAACAAGGCGCACACTCGCCCGCCCATCGAAAGTACGGAACTCTGGCAATGAAACGGCAGCACATGTGCCTGTCAACACAGCTCGGCAGCTTGCTCTGCCAAAATCCGAAGGCATAGAAAGCCTGAGAGAGCAAAGGAGAGAAACAATAACACAAATGTTGTGAAACATGCTTATCAACATGCGCAAAGAAGGGCAACATGTGCCCCAACATTATTAGCCATTGTGTTTGTTGGACTTGTCTGTATGTTCCTAAACATATTTTGTTGACAACAAGGAGGGTCGCCCAATTCGGCAAATCTGCTTCTCTCGCTTGCGTAGCAGCATGTGTCTCAACATGTATCTGCTGTAGCATGTGTGCTGCACTCGGTGCCGTTGTACTTTGCAATCGAAACTCCGGCTGAGTTGTTGTTACGTCGTCGAGAGAGTCGCGTGTTCATGTGTCGCGTTCGCGTTCTGATGTCTGTTGTTGCCACGGGCTTTGTCTGGTCGCAATGCAGCAGCAGCAGTTCTGACTGACTGACTGACAACAGATAAACAAATCGGTGCCGCGAACTGTGTCTGAAAAGTGCGTGTCATTTATACGGTAAATGGTAGTCCCGTTAATCAATTGCTTGAGTTAAAGCGGCATGTTGTTTCTTTTGTGTATGCGTGTGTCTGTGTGTGTGTGCGTGTGTGTTTGTTTGTGTGTTGCTAAACAATAATAATAAAGCAATCAATTGGCACACGAGCTTCCATAAATTATCTTAAATTCAAATTGACCAAAAAAAATAAATAAATGCATAATACATTACATTAAAGAAGGCGAAAAAAATTAAAGCAGAGACCGCAGAACACAAAAGCGGCACAAACAAAAAATGGAAACATTTTTGGATAACTTTTCCAGATATTTTTCATTGATTTTTCTACTGGCGCGCCACACACACCTCCTGCTGCCACCACATATATAGAGAGAGAGCGGGAGCAAGAGAGAGAAACAAAGAAGGGGAAAGAGAGAGAGAGCGAGAGAGCGTTGCCATGCCGCCTGGTGTTTTGTGCACAGTTTGGCATTGGAACACAATGTGGTACTATGTGTGTGTGTGTGTGCGTGTGTGTGTGTGCGGATTATCCTTTTTTATATATTTTGTTTATTTTCAAGTGCCTGTTTCCATTTTGTTGCGCACATTTTGTGTTGTCCATTCGTTTCGCTGCATTCCATTCTCGCGGCGTTTCAACACAATAAGCATGTGTGTGTTTGTTAGTGTGTGTGAGTGCTGGCAGCTGCCCTATGTAAATTTCTCTCTCGGTGCTTGCTCTTGCTGCCGTTTTACCCCCCTCGGTGGCAGTGTCTCATGTTTTGAACTCTGCTTTGCTATACCATTCGCATCGTAGCTGGCGCCGCTGTTGACGCTGGCGCCGCGCGCTCTCTCTCTTTCTCTCTCTCACTCTTGTTCTCTTTCTTCGCACATCTTCCGCCTGGCTCTGGCTGCAGTCGTTGTCCTTTGGCCGTGCATTGCGCGTTGCCAACCAATTTGCCGTGTGTGTTGTCATTGTCATAATAAGAAAATTCCTGCTGTGCCTGCGGTCTCTGCAATTGTTTATGCGTCATTTAATCGAAAATATGAAATATCTTATATCATTTTTCCAGTGTCCTGCGGCCACGAAGGCTAATTAAAAACGGAGCTATCAACAACAACAATACAAATTTCAATGGAACAAATCATCATGAGGCTTTTGAATTGACACAAGTGTTGCATACTTTTCGCGTCGCGTGTTAGTTATTTATATTTCGGTTCGTCTACCCTGCGCGTATCCTAACCGTTAATCAATCTATCTCCACCTATCTCTATCCGTGTGTGTGTTCGTGTGTGCTTGTGTATATTTTATACTGCTCTGTACATATGTACAATATTTGTCGTCATCATCATCATCATCGTTGTTGTTGTTGTTGTTATTTACTCGGCATTCGTATAAAGTAAAAATATAAATAATTTGTGTTCTTCGGTGTTGTCTCGTGTAAGTGTCTATAATTTGTTTAACTACGACAAGCGATCGGCAAGAAGCAAGACCAAAAGCAAACGCAAAAGCAATCATAACATTTATCGATATACAATTTCGATATGGCAAATGATCAATTCTGTGCGCAACGATTCGAATGTCAACTCTCTAAGCAATCGTATAGCCAACAACAGCAACAACAACAAGAGAAGCAACACCTGCAACAGGCCCAACAACAAGAAGAAGAGAAAGCTAGTAACGCCTAGCAGCTGAAAATTCTCCATTGACGATTCCCTTTCAATACCCAATTGGGAATTTCATTTGATTAAAAAGTTCACACCATTGTTGGACACTCAAAAAGGTAAGTCCCCAATTTGGTTACATTGTTTTAATAATGAATAATAGCTATATTATGAACTTTAGTTTCATCTTGATCATATGGAAAAGTATAATATTTGATTTAAATTGAATATAATTGAAAATAATGAATTGTCTAGATTTTCAAGAAAAGAGAATACAATGATAATTCTCTCGGGCTAACACTCACGATTATAGTTTTTCGTCCTGCTAGACGATCTCCAATGAAATTTGACCCTGTAAGGGCAGCCGACTATTAGTAGTGTTCATACTCAAAAGGAAAAGCTTTGAGTGTTCGATAACAATATATCGGTAAAAATATATCGATAACATTAATATCAGTACTACTCCAAATATACTTTGCCATTAACTTAATTCTACTTACTTTTTGAGTTTAATAATCAAAATTGTTTGTATACATTACATTTCATTACATTACATTACATTTCATTACAGTAGGTTTGTTAAATTAAATAAATTATGTTTATGTTAAAATATTTTTTTCTTACTGAAAAAAAGAATTTCTAGAGGAATGCGCTTAAAAAAAAAATGGTCCAGCTTTTATAAACATACTGATGATTTTTCTGTGTATGATGAACCCTTTGTTGTTTAATCTCAATTTTTTCCTTGTATATTTCTGCTTAAACATTTATTGTTCTGGTAGCTAATAAACCAATTGAATTATTGCTACAACAGAAATACATATGTGCATTGATAAAAAACATAGATACAAATGACATGACAATCATTTTCCGTTTTCTTTAAACATTATGACCGGCTTAAGTGCATTAAAAGATAAAAATCATCAAAAAAATGTTTGTCAAGAACTTAATTCTTATGGCCATCTAAAATGAATACATTACATTTCATTACATTACATTACATTTCATTACAGTAGGTTTGTTAAATTAAATAAATTATGTTTATGTTAAAATATTTTTTTCTTACTGAAAAAAAGAATTTCTAGAGGAATGCGCTTAAAAAAAATGGTCCAGCTTTTATAAACATACTGACGATTTTTCTGTGTAAGATGAACCCTTTGTTGTTAAATCTCAATTTTTTCCTTGTATATTTCTGCTTAAACATTTATTGTTCTGGTAGCTAATAAACCATTTGAATTATTGCTACAACAGAAATACATATGTGCATTGATAAAAACATAGATACAAAGGACATGACAATCATTTCCCGTTTTCTTTAAACATTATGACCGGCTTAAGTGCATTAAAAGATAAAAATCATCAAAAAAATGTTTGTCAAGATACTTATTTGTTATGGACATCTAAAATGCATTTGCATAGAGAAGCGCTCAACTGTGAAAGCAGTTAACTAATTAAGACATAAAGACAATCAAAATGAAATGCGTAAAAGATAAGAAACCGAAAGCAGCCAGAAAGGCATCAGGTCGTTCAATCTGATGATTGGAATCGATGGGATGAGTTACACTGCCGATAAAAAAAATATGCTTAATTCATGTTGTTTTCGTCTGTCAGCGCCTACTCACACACACACACGCACACATAGACCTATGAACAGCAAAAGATACAGATACGAAGTTCAACTCTCAGAACGGCGACTGGAACTGTGTGCGGTTTTCAGTTTTATCTGCATCTTTTAATGACTTCGCAGGCGGCGTTTCCTTTTGTTTGTGTCCGAAATGTGCGGGCAGCATGTTTTGTTTTTGTTTACATTTCAAATGGGAAACGTTCTGCCCGATACCAGATGTGTGTCCACAAGATACGACTCGCTCGTTCCTGCTGTTGTTGTCCACGTTGTTGTCGATGTCTGCAAAATGCATTTTGCTATTTTGGTTAACTACTTGGCCCTGGGCACAACGTCCGCCCGAGGAGCACTCTAATGAGGCAAATGCCGTCGTGCGTATCATGTGACACTAGGCAAATATCGGGACGACATCCAGAGCCATTATCCAACATACTCTGCTCCCTATCTCTTGAGCTATCTTTATCTGTATTGCCATCTCGTATCAGCGCGTGTGTTCTGTTCTTTCTTTTTTTTGTTTTTTTTGGTAGGAACACAACGTGCCGCAAATAAAGATTGCCTGTCCCCATGCTCTCTGTGTTGTACAACGCATTAGCGTTTGACAAAAAGAAGAAAAAAAATAGAAGCCAAAGCAAAGCAGGAGACACAATCAGTAGGACGTCAGCAACACAAAACGTCACGTCCAGCGTCACATTCGACATTCCAATATCCTGAATATATATATCTCTGCCTGCACAGTGGACACACGCAAGCGCACATACACACACACACACAAGCGTCTCGCACTTTGTCCAATTAATGAGGCTCCGCTGTAAAAATGCACTTAAGTATGTTTACAGATGATTAGGAACAATTCACTCAACTTGAATCCAGCTAGCATTATGTCAATGTCATTTGAAGTACTCGGTAGTTTTTTATTTAAGCTACTTTTTCTTTCTGTTAGCCAGCGAATACTTTAATATTTATGCATGAAATGGGTTAGAGCATGAGCTCTACAAACTTCTAACTAATTAAACCCTCAAGCTATTGATAATGGGTAGAGTATATGCAGTTAAAACTCTCTTGGGCGGACAGCCAACGTCGGACAAAATTTGTCCGCTCAAGAGGAGCATTCGTGTTAATGGAGGTCGTGTGATTTATAAATTGTATATTAGATTAAGATGGTTGGATATAAAATGTACGGTTAAGAAGGGCCGCAAAAATGTCCACACAGATCGGACACCGAAGTTAACCTCAAAACCGTTTTCCATACTGTGGTGCTGAGGGAAGAAGAAGCCAAGCCTCTGTCAGCCAATGGAATGTTGTTTCTTATATTGATTTCTTCGACACATAATTGAATGTTGTTTTGATCATTGCCCAATGCAACTCAATGTGCATTGTGTTATGCCGAGTCTTTGCCAAACGTAGAAACAGTAAGGCCAGCAAATGTTGTCTCCTGCGAGGCTCCTGCTTATCCGCCTACGGCTCCTGCCGCGTCTGCGTCTGGGCTGCCTATGGCCAAGTGCAAGAATCTAAGCTATGTATCTAAGTATAACCAAAGAAGCCCGTATGTTTTGTATTATGTTACACAAATATTTAAGCTGCCTTAAGTAGATACAGCGAAACGCGTTTAAGATATACAAATAGAAGAAACGGCAACAGACGCAAAGAATGAAAAGCGAGGAAAAGCGCTGCAACAGCAACAACAGCAACAACAACAACTGAATGAAAAGTTACATTAAACTTGCGCCTTGCTCTCGTTTGTGTCTGTGTGTGCGGGTGCCCAGTAGGAGGCAAAAGTCGTGAAAGAAGTTATCACTACTCAAGATATATGCATACAGATACATATACATATACATGCATGTATGTATGTATGTATGTAATATATATGTGTGTGAGCACATGCCTTGGCTGGCTTTTGCCCGGGACTCGAACGGGTCTTAGTTTTTATGTGCTATTTGTATAAGTTGTCTGGCGATGCTCTGTTTTTCTATTGATACGCATATCGTTTGCCATTTGCCAGCTACACCCCGCTGCTCTACACCCCCCTCCCTGTTAGCCCCCATCTTTGAGTCGACACAATTCACTTCAATTCAATTTCTACGATTTCATCTTGGCAAAAAGTCGTTGGGCAAACGTTTGTTAGCCACTTGGTTGCAGCCTTTTGGACCAGCCTAGTCGGCAGAAGGGGGTCAAAACGACAGAAAAGTTGAAAACAACTAAAAGAGTGCTCCAGTACTCGAGTATGCCCGACTAGGCGATGCCCTGTAACCAGGTCCTATACGGCTTACACGGCCTGCCTTTCATTCCTTTGCTTCTTACTTTGAATAATTTAATTATAGATTTTCTAAGCATAAAGATTGCATAGAAATGTACACAAACTCAAGGCATACCTTCAAAATGATATTTTGCATATATTAAAGATATCACATTAGAAGGGGAACGAAAACATGCCAAATTTGTTTCGTCCTGATAAAGACTTTATATACTTTATTGTGACTTTGACCCGCTTTATGCAGGGTATTGAAAATAGAAAAATAGTCAACTTGCAGCCATGAGATACATTTGCCTTAGTCGATTTCTATGCATGCTTATGCCTTATAAATTTCAATAAATTCATGAATTATTTTGCATGCTATTAGAAGCTATACCGATTTGGGCCTGACTGGGCATCTACACACTCATTGCTGTTGCCGTTGTTATTATAATCCCCACTAATACGCAGCACAGTTATGCTGGACTAAATTTATAGGCAGCAGCAGCAGCAGCAGAGCAGCAACAGAAAAGAATCGATTGGTTTTTGTCCGTGTGCCTCTCGTGGGCGTTTTTAATCAAGATACACGAGCCTTGACTGCCACTGACTGTCCCTCTCCACTCTAAAATATTATTGTTATTTGTTTATGCAGTTCTGCAGTCGGCACAGATAAGTTGTACGTTCGACTACGGGCTGCACGAATTTCTCGTAGGTAGTTTGCTGAATTTATGTGCACTAAACATTTTTATTTCAATTACCGAAATGGGTGTGTTCATTGGCATTGTTGCCCAACAGAAGGCTGAGCATCTTCTAAGGCCCAGCATAAAAAATTGACTTGCAATTCCAGAATTAATTTCGATTGGATTTAGTCACTTGGTTATTTATAGCATTGCATCTATATCTAAGATGTTGTGCTTAGTTATTTGTTTTTGTTTCATTGTGTTGGATCATCAGGCAGATCTGAGCCGAGTCTTAAATATTTAATGAAAGGAATAAGAAAGTGGCCGCTCTAGAAGAATAAAACATGAATTTAGTTACTTAGCTTATTGTTAATTATGGATTTGACTTAAAAACGTACTTAATAAATTCTGGCAACACTGCGCTTGTTTAACATGCAAATTTCGGTTATCGTGAGCAATAAGAAAATACGTTGTTAAAAATATTTTTGATTTATTCGTGGCGTGAAGAAAGTTTGCCTTCAATTTAGCTACCAATTGTCGCTAAGACAGTTGCCACCTTTTGTGTATTTTCTAAAGTGTGGCAACTCTCTTCATTGACTCTTGCAAAGCACATTGGATCGCATTGCCATTAACTAAGCTAATAGAGTACATCTTATATTTCATTAAGCTTCCCAATAGTCGCCAGGCTGTTGCCACCTTTCGTGTATTTTCTAAAGTGTGGCAACTCTTTTCATTAATTGTCTTGCAAACCACATTGAATCGCATAGTCAATAGCTATATTTATGGATTATGTGTTACTTGTCATTTATTTTCATGATAGGGTGTTGCCACCTTTTGTGTATTTTCTGATATGTGGCAACTCTCTCTCTCTATCTCTACCTTAATTTCTATTAATCGAATAAATTCAAAATATATTTTTGATATATGTTAATGCTTATATTGTTCATATCGCACCGATCTAAGCAATAGGAAATCCAGATATTGGTAAAATTAACCAAAAGGTTCTCCTCAACATTTCTCCTGAAGCCGCAATCCGTCGACATGTGTGGCAGTCGCCGGCGCCTTCATTAGTTTAATTATAATCATTTTTACTTGTCAGCGCAACGAAATGCCAAAAATAAACAACAACACAGTGCTGGCAGCACAGGTAAAGGCAAAATGGCCATTGGACAGGCGATAGGTATACAAAAGACAAAAAAATATATGTATGTGTGCGGCACATTCGGTGTTGACCAAATTAAGTTGCAAGTGGCTGACTGCCCAAAAATGATTGATTTAATGAGGCTATCATTGACACTTTGCACGGCCACGCCCAGCCAGATTAGGCAACGGGTCTGGCCGAGGCGAAATTAAAGGCGAGACCTTGAGTTACGGGGTTTTGTGCAGGGTGCGTGCCTGGAATGTCTAAATAGGACATTCAGGAAATTATTTGGAAATGAATTTCACTTAAACAAATAAATATATTTACATTTAATTAACTAACCAGAATTTATACAAAAATAACCTTAATATATATATTCATTGCATAAATTATTAAAGGCAGCTCCCATTGATTTCTAATTTATGAAATTATTCGAAACGCATTATTTTTGTTGTTTATTTCGTTTTGCATTAACTATTCACAATAAATATACAGTAAAAATGACCTTTAAACATATCATAAACTTTACGAACACGAACTTTTCTGATTGCCCGCACAAATTCTATTTGTTTCCAGTTCGGGACTTTTCCATCTAGTTTATTATGCCATAAACAATTAGGCGAAAAAGTTGCTTGTCCTTGCGTGGCGAGAAACCATTAAATAACACGCAAGTGGCCAGTTCAGAGGCCCAGTAGGCCCCGCAGCCCGCAGCGCCTACCGCCAATAACCTACATTGATTCTAACAAAAGTACAAAACAAATTGTGGATGTCTATTGAAATTGAACAATAAACACTTTAGTGTCATGTGTTGGTGGAGGGGCTCTGGAGTGTGCGGGGTGTGGGGGAGTAAGCGTATAATGGTGGGCACAAATGTGATCTGGCAAATATTCGTGCACAATATTAATTAGAAATATTTTTGAAAATCTGGAAATAATATTTATTAACCAGCATTTAAAGGTGATTTTTTGTAATACGGAAAGTTAGATTTCATAAATGAGATTTTAATTTTTTAAATATGCATGTTAAATAAAAATCAGATAAAACTATACCTAAATATAAATAAATGATTAATGTAATAAAGTATTTAAATGGGAATTTTTACAGAATCTAGAACTAATATGAAAATGAATTATTTTCTTATTATTCGGAAAACATTTTATTTTTAATTTTTATATGAGATTCTAATTTTTTATATGTGCGGGCCAATGCTTAATATAAACATGTTCAGTTTCGCAGCCATGTTTCAGAAACATGCATTTTTTTATATGAGAATATAGATTTGCTTTTAATTTTTACTTTATCTTTATCGACTCGGCTATTGATGCTGATCAAGAATATATATCTTATGTGTTCGAAGATTCTTCCTTCTGCCTGTTACACACATTTGCACCCAACCAATATTCCCTTTTTAAGCCATTTTCAATGGGTATAAATAGTGTTGTTAAGCCATTAAAATGCAACACTTCCTTAGTGCTATTTGCACTGGTTTAATTCGAGTGAAATCACATTTTATCATAAAAATTTCGAAACCATTTGAAAGTTCAACTGCGTGCAGTTAATATGCAAAATGCAGCAGGCAAAAAGAAGAAGATTAACAACAAAAAAAGGGTGTTCATAATTCGTAAAATCCATAATTTATAATATCAATAAATGGCAGATATATATATATGTATAAATAAACACGCTGGCCAGAATAATATGGGCATAAAACAAACGGCATAAAAATGTGAATAGGGAAAATAGAATGGAAAAGAATTTGCAAACATTGAATTTTTAATTGCTGAAAATTTGTGTTCTCTCGCTTTTTATGCTTTTTCATAGCAATATTTATGCACATGCATATCTATATATTTATAAAAATACATACGATGTTTATTTTTTTTAGTTTGTGTTGCGCATATTTGTGCATTTGCGTTTATTTATTTTTCATCCTTTTTATCGCACTTTTTCCGCTTTTGGCCGCATTGCCATTCAAAATATTAACTGTTTTTTATTTGCTTTGCTTCTTCTTCAGCGAAATTGCAGCATGCAAAATTTATACGTGCACGAAATATTGTATGAACTCTAAATTGTTCGTGCTGAAATCATTCGGCATAAATGCACACATACATTTACAAATAAATTATTAAATTTTTTTTCATATTTTTTCTTGTTTATGTACAGTAAAAATTCATGTTGTAGAATTAAAAAATTATAAACATTTCTAGGGCTAATGAACTTTAATGCCAATTGTTTGTCTTTTCGGTCCAAGTTGGTTAAAGCAATGTTTATTCACGATGTTAAAACATAAGTTAATAATATGTTGTGAATATACAACAATATTTCAAGATATTTAGCATTTCAACATTCTAAAATATTGAACATAAATTAATATTATGTTGTGTAAGCGTAACTATTTTAAGGTATTTTACATTAAACTTTTTTAAAATAAATGATAAATAAAAAAACAAACTAAAATAAAAAAAATAGCGCAAAAAATATTTTAATAGAATATTTTAAATATATTTTAATTTATAATCCATTCAGAACAAAAGTATGAAATATTTGTACACAATATCCTGGACACACAACAACAATGCAATATTTAAATTTTTGCACATTTGATTGTTTTACATGACAGCCCGGTTTGGATTTAAACTTTAATGCAAATTGTTAAATTGTTAATCAATTGAACCATTAAAAAATAAGTATACAAATTCAACGAAATCAAATTCCATTAGCGTATACAAATAAAATTAAATCAAATTACAAATGCATGGCCAAATTGCAATTTCAACTTTCTGTGGTTTCACTGTTTCCAGCATTATATAACACGCAGTCCACACACACACACACACCTGCCTCTCGAGGCGGTTAAGGACGCGGGGCGTGTGGCATGGGGCGTGGCCAGTGGCATGCTTATTTTCTGGCCGCTTTTATGTAATTTATCATTTTAATTTACCGCCTAGTTTGTGTTTTTCGTGTTTAATTAGCAATTCAATGTGTATAAATATTTAATGTTGTTGCTTTTAATGCTCGACTAGTTACCTTGGGTTTTTTCTGTTGTTGTTTTTTAAGCATGTAAGTACTATATCAATAAATGAATTTGTTAAACAGGTTTAACAAAAGTGTTTTTGTTAATCCTGTGCGTTCTTTTTTTGTATCCTCTTGTTGGCTGCGCAATTAACTGCACAGTTGGCTTTGTGGGCCAAACAATATGCACTTCCTGCATCTGCTTAAAAACTTTAATTATAATTTAATTAATATTTTAATTATACAGTCCGAGCGCACTTGATTTCAACGATTTTGGATTAAGTGGAAATTTTAATTGGATTTCACATGTTTTAAGTTCCCCCTTTTTTTTGTTGTTGTTGTCTGCTTTTATTTGTTAATTAATTGTAAATTAAATTCATCATAATTTTTAATGGTGCTCCAGTGAATGGGAATTTGTTGTTGATTGACGTTATCGCAAATAGTTTAATTTTCATTAAAATTAAATCAAATTTTATTTTATATTTAAATACGCAGCTAAGATAACTTTTGTATGAGCTAAGGCTACACTTAAGGGAAAATTTGTAGATAGAAACTATTAACCAGAGCTGTATATAGCCATATAGAATATGAATTGATAACTGGGTATTATAAGATATTTATTAAAGTAGTGTTAAATAATATCGTTATAAAAATAGTTTACAAAATTAGCTTAATATGTTCTGTATACAAAACTTAGCTGTTGTGCCAGTTCTTTATCCACCTATTTCTACAATGAAAAGTATTTTATACTTTTGGGAACACTTTTAAGAAAACTTTTAAACTATTTTTATTATACTCAGCATTTACGAGCTTCAGTATTTTCACATATCTGTACAACTGTAACGAAGATGTCTCAAAGGACATAATATTCGGCGTGCCGTACTTTCTCATTTATTACGTAATTTAGTTTTCCAGTTTTTTAGCAAAAGATCGTTTGGTTCTCGAATTCATTAAAACCGTTGAAGGGCATTTGTCGGCAAAAGACCAACGGCGAAATGTTCAATAAATATGCTGTAGTGTGCTTCAGAATGAAACGAGACGTATTTTGCATTTGTCAGAAGCATCATTAACATGGCACAATCATCAAAGGGTGCAACCCCAAAAAAGTTTATAATAACTGCATAGCTGGCCTTTTTTTCCATTGTTGTTGCTGTTGTTCAACTTGAACAACCCCGAAAAAGTAGAACGTTCACATACTTATTTCGTAAAGTGCACTCGTCGATGAGGCGCGGAATTGAGAAACTGCGACAGCTGCCAAATGGATCAACCCGTCCAAAAATTGCGGAGCATTTTCGAGCCTTCCGGCAACGCCACCGCATTTAACCCATATGCGGCCCTCGGGCCATTTTAGCG